GCATGGTCCTGGAGTCCCAGCACTGCACACACTGGATATGGAGGCATGGTCCTGAAGTCCCAGCACTGCACACACTGGATATGGAGGCATGGTCCTGGAGTCCCAGCACTGCACACACTAGATATGAAGGCATGGTCCTGGAGTCCCAGCACTGCACACACTGGATATGGAGGCATGGTCCTGGAGTCCCAGCACTGCACACACTAGATATGAAGGCATGGTCCTGAAGTCCCAGCACTGCACACACTGGATATGGAGGCATGGTCCTGGAGTCCCAGCACTGCACACACTAGATATGAAGGCATGGTCCTGGGAGTCCCAGCACTGCACACACTGGATATGGAGGCATGGTCCTGGAGTCCCAGCACTAGGCAGGAAACCTAGAAACCCAATGTCCTCCTTGACTACATAGGGAGCTTGAGGCCAGCCTGGGGCTACATGACCACCCTGCCTCAGAAACTAAAAGAACAGTAACCCCAAACAAACAAAAAGCCCTACAGAAAACGCTGTGTTAGCAAGGGTGTGGAGAGTCCATTGACTGTAAAATGGTGCGGCTGCTCTGGGAAACGAGCAAGCTCCTCTGGGAAATGAGCAAGTTCCTCAAAACATAAAAAGAGAACTTCCATCCAGCCCACAGACCTGCTGCTGTCACTATATGTAAAAGAACTGGGGGTATGGTCTCTACGGTGGGGTGTGCAAACCCATTGGCAGGGACAGTATTAGTCACAAGGGTCGAGAGGTGGAAGTCAACAACTGTCTGTGAGTGTGGCAGACTCACAACATGGGTTAATATTCAGCTTTAAGGGAGGAGAAAATTCAGGGATAAACCTTGAGAACATTGTAGTCAGTAAAAGAAGCGGTCATAAAGAGCAAACGCTGTGATTCAGATTTGAGAAGACAGGAAATAGAATGGTGGTTAGCAGGGAGTTAATGGGAATGCAGAAAGGTTTAATGGGCACAGAGTTTCACTTCTGCAGGATTAAAAAGTTCCAATTTGCAGCGATGTGAACTTACCCAAGCACCACTGCCCTGTACAAAGGGAAAGACAGAGCTCGGATACATTGTAGTCTTTTTTAAAAAATCACAGTAAAATAAAATAAGCAGACTGGGTGTGGTAGCACAGCCCTGTAATGTCAGCCTGGGCTACATATGGGGACCCTGCCTCAAAAAACTAACCTAGCAGGACACTCAAATGAGAAAATGCTTCCATAAGGCTGGCCTATAGGCAAGTTTGTAGAGCATTTTGTTGATTGATGATCTGTATGGAAGGGCCCAGCTCAATGGAGATGGTACCACCCCTGGACGGGTGGTCCTGGATGTTATAAGAATGTAGGCTGAGCAAACCATGGAGAGAAAGCCAGTAAACAGCATCCCTCCACGGTCTCTACTTCAGTTTCTGTCTCCAGGTTCCTGCCTTGAGTTCTGCCCTCACTCCTCAGTGATGGGCTATGACCTGAGAGTTTTTAGTCCAATAAACCCTTTCCTCCCCAAGTTGTCTTTGGTCACGGTGTTTTATCACAGCAATAGAAACTGTAACTAAGACATTCTAGAACCACATAAATAAGTATGGTGACACACACCTGTAATCTCAGCACTTGGGAGGAAAAGGCAGAAGAATCAGAAGTTCAAGCTCATAGCGAGACCAGCCTGGGCTACATACGACCCTGTCAAAAAAAAGTAAGCAAGCAAGTAAGTAAATAGGATCCACTTTGCACCGTGTGTGTGTGTGTGTGTGTGATCTATAGTCATAGCACTTGGGAGGTGGAGGCAGGAGGATCCTAGAGTTGGGTTATATAGTGAGATCCTTACTCAATAAACCACACTAAAATCAAAACAAAATAAAGAACCTAATTCTTCACACTGCTGAGTGCGCTCATTCTCTGGATTGCCTACACATCACATCCCCGGTGAATCCACTAATCCCTGGACAGGCTGATAAATCAGCATTGGCACATCAGAGGATTCTGGGATCGGCAGCTCTCAGATTGGTGAGCAGCTGCCTGCAGATCTACAGTGAGTGTAATTCCTCTAGCTCCAAGGTACCCCTCCCTGCTGTTCCATGACAGTCCATCAAGGACCATTCAAAGCTCAACATCTTTGCTCTACAAGCGCTCCTTTAACTTTGGGCCCCAGACCAGAAGCATGAACATCATCCCTGACTACCTGTCCCCACCCCACAGCTGTGTGTGTGTGTGTGTGTGTGTGTGTGTGTGTGTGTGTGTGTGTGTATTGCTAGAGAAGGGCATTAACCTTGGGACAGGGTCTCTTACTGAGCCTAGACCTCACCTTTTTTTTTTTTTTGGCTAAGCTAGTGGACGGAAACCCTAACCTTGTCCCCAGTGCCGAAGCACTGGGGTTATAGACACAAGCAGACACATTCACCATGTTATGTGAGTGCTGGAATCTGACTCGGGTCCCCAGGCTTGCATAGCAAGTGCTTTATCCACTAATCCATCTCCCCAGTTCCCTGTCCATCACCCACACCTCAACTACCACACAGTCAAGGTAGACTGAACCTTCCAAGTGTCCTGGCCACGCTCCTAACCTCTGCTTTCTTCTGCTCCTAAATCAGTCTATGACGCGTAATCTCAATTGCCAACTTGAGGAGATCTAGAACTATCTGAGATACAGGCCTCTCAACACACCCAATGTGGATTGTCTTGAGTAAACTGATGGAAGTAGGAAGACCTGCCCACCATCGGCAGCACCATCCCCTGGGCTTGGATCCTACATCATATAAAAAGGAAACGGACCTGAGCACAAGCATTCCACTCCCCTTCCTGACTAGAGATGCACTCTGACCAGCTGCACCAGTCCCTGGCATGGTGACTCCCACCATGCTGTACTTGGCTTTTGATCTGTGAGCCACACAAAACCCTTCCTTCTTTACACTGCTTCCTTTTTTTAAGTTGTCAGGGTTACCACAGCAACAGGAAAGAGGCTAAGGCAGTCTTCATCCTGCAGTCTTGACCCCAACACTGCCCCCGACAAAATCCTTCTAGGGAAAAAGAGCTCTAGATCTGGTTCATCCAGGACAGCAGCTGCATGTGGCTGTTTAGATTTACACTAAAATTAAACAGAATCAAATTCCATATCACTAGCCACAGTTCCAATGCCCAGCAGCCACAGGTAGCTAGTAACCACCACAATATAGCTGGTGAATACATCTGGGTTGGCTGGTTTTACTGTCAACTTGATACAACCTAGAATCACTTGAGAAGAGTCTCAACGTGGAATTATCCAGATCAGGTTGGCCTGTGGGCATGTTTGTGGGGGACTGTCTTGATTGTTAATGTAGGAAGACCCAGTCATTGTGGGTAGCACCATTCCCTAGGCAGGGGCTGCTGAGCAGCATAAGGGAGGAGAAAGCTAGCTGAGAGCTAGCAAGCAAGCAAGGGTTGCATAGGACAGCCCCCAGCAAGCAGGACCTGACCTTTACATGGCAGAAGTGTCCTTAGACTCTAGCCTGGGCAACTCCATAGGCAGGGGCTGGGTCCTGCACACTGCATAACATGATGACCAGCCCAGTGTCAGGCCCATAGGTGACATTCACCAGGTACTGAACACATGATTGTCTGCATGATCTATAAACTCCTCCACTTAGGACTCCAGTTCCCACAGTACGGAAGGATAAATAGTGTGCCTTCAATATCTGGAACCTATCTCTGGAACCTGTGGATGTCACATTTTTTGGACTTGGCATCTTCATTTAGTAAAGGATCTAAGAGAGACAGACAGAAACAGAGAGGCTCATGCAGCCCAAGCTGGTCCTGAACTCACCATGTAGCTGAGGATGACCAAGATGCCTCCACGTCCCTTGCACTGGGATTACAGGTATGTGCCACTATACCCAGTTTATTTAGTGCTAGGTATGGACTGGAACCCAGGGCTTCCTGCATGCTAGGCAAGCACTCTATACCAACTGAGCTACATCCCCAGACCTCACACAGTAAAGGATCCTGAAGTGTAAATTACCTGAGATTACTGAGCAGGCTTGTGATGTTGTCAAAAATACCTATGTTAGTGAGAAGTACAAGGAGTATGCACACACATGTGAGTGTGCATGTGTAGACGCATGCACCACCATGCCTCATTTATGCTATTTTAGGAAGGAACCCACACCTCTGTGCATGCTAGGCAGGAACTCCACCAACTGAGTTACATGAGGCCAGCATGTTTGTGATAATTTGTTATAGAGACCATAGGGAGGGAGCGCAGTGTGTTCCATTCTAAAGACGAGCTGATGGGAGGGGCGATAAGAGGAACGGCTGAGGGTTCAGCAGAGTGGCAGCGCTCTTACCAAGGGTGCACGAGGCCCTCAGTTCCATCCCCAGCACCAGAAAAAATAAAGGAAGGTACCAGGGGCCGGTTGCCAGGTATGCGAGTTGGGAGAGAGATGAACAAAATGGACAAGTGGTTGTGGCCGAGCTGGGAATGTTTCTAGAGGATCAGGTTCTCAGGCCACTGGCCAGCATGCTTCTAAGTTACTTCTCCACCTTGGTCCTGCTGCTGAAGGTGCCAAGCAGGTCTGGGACCTGGCCCAGGATCAGTCTGGCTGGTTAGAGTGGCAAGCACTTTCTCATCTGCCCAGCTGCCCACCGACTCCCTCCTACACTGCCATCCAGCCACAGTGCTCTTCTCTGACCTTCCAACAAGGCCTGCAGGACCGCAGCATGTGCTCTTCCTTCAGTGGGAACTCTTCCTCCAGAGTCTCCTAGAGCTGCCTGCTTCTCAACCTTCATTCTCACTTAAAGTCAGAGAAACACCCCTTGTTGTGCTACAGCGTGAGAGCACCTCTTGGAAACGTCTCTTGCCTCACCATGCTGGTTTCTTCCTAACCCTGTCAATATATTTGCCTCATAAGTTAGCAGTCTCCCTGCCCAACTGTATGCTCCAAGGGGGCAGGGTCTGTGTGACTGCACACAGTAGTTGCTCCGTGTATTTTAAATGAATGAATTTGCAGTTTGGGACCACTGGCCCAAGGCCTGGTCTCAACATACCTGATCTTGGCCTTCCTAAAAGCCAGCTCCTCTTCATTGCCGAAGTCCAGGGACACATCCTCAGTATCGTCCACGAGGGCCTGGGGGACACCAGGTACAGATGGCAGGCCCCACAGATGCACACCCGGCCTCCACTCCTAAGGGCCCTCTCTTCCTGGGCACATCTCTCTGCTTCTCCTAGCGTTATTCCCTTACCGCTCCAGGCTTTCCCCTCCCCCTTTACACTGGGCCTAGTTCAGCCTTAGGCTCCAAGGCCAGTGCATTTATCTACCTCTCTCGGTCTCTTTGCCATCATCATCCTCACGGCAGGGCATTTCCACAGGCCTACCTGCTTCATTCTCCTGGGTACCACTTGACCCTACAGCGCAGGCTCCAGCTCCGCCCTTTACAGCCCAAGGTTTAGGATGCCGAGCAAGCAGCCGCCAGGAGGGATGCTAGGAGCCAAGGCTCCGCAGCTTTGCTTTGGTTGTCTGTGGGGGAGGGGCTCTGCGCAGTGCGCATTCTCGGGCTGGGGCGGGACCAGAGAGGATCCCCAGGGAAGCTGTGGCAACTAGCAGAAGCTGAGAGCAGGGAGCTGTGGCAAAGAGAGGACAGACCTGCAGGACCCAGGACAGTGAGGGATGGTGGCAGAGGGGTGTGTGTGTGTGTGTGTGTGTGTGTGTGTGTGTGTGTGTGTGTGTGTGTGTGTGTGTTAGGGCCAGAAGGGATGAATGAATGAATGTACGTTAGTATCCAGAAGCCACACTCAGGTTGGAAGGAAAGTTTTCAAGCTCCATGAAAAGCAGATTTTTCTGGGTCAGGTGTAGTAGTACAGGCCTGTGACCCCAACACCTGGAAATCTGAGGCAGAAAATGCCTGAGTGCATAGAAAAGCAAACAAACCAACCAACCAGGTGTGATCAGGATCATGTGCTTGGCTCGGGGACTGTGGTATTGTTATGGAAACGGGCACACTGAGGAGAGTAGCTATTGACATGGGAAGGCCTTACTGGCCTTCTCCTGGCCCAGGACAGAGTCATCCACCTCCTCTGTGGCCTGCCCCTCCCATTTCCCAGTTCCCACCCCACCACCTCCACAATCTTCCTCAGCCCCACATCCCTGCTCTACTACCCTGGGTAGAGAGCTCAGTGCCAGGAAGCCAAGGCTGTTGGTTCTCCTTTGCTGGTTCGAGTTTCTCCCTGCCCCCAAGCAGGTGTTAGCCTGACTCCTGGTGACCCCGTGGGGGACACTGGGCCACAAGCTCCGCGGCAGCTCCTACCCTGCGGCCCTGGTTGGGGTGCAGTGAGGAGCTGCCGCATGTCTGATCCTCTGGCTGTGCCAGAGACTGCCAGCTGTGTGCTCCATTTTTTAGGCCACAGAAATGCTGTCTGGAGGAAGGGTGGAGGCCATCCTCGGGGGCTGAGCCTTTCGAAGTATTTTTCAGACCATGCCTGACATGGTAAAGTTGGCCTGAAATCGAAGTACTTAGGAAGGCTGAGGCAGGAAGATCACAAGTTTTAGGCTAGCCTGAAATACAGAACAAGTTCAAGGCCAGCCTGGGCAACTTAGCAAGACCCTGTCTCAAAAAGTTTATTGGAGTGCATGTATTTATGTGTGTGTGTGTGTGTGTGTGTGTGTGTGTGTGTGTGTGTGTGTGTGTGTGCCCATTCACACACGTGCTTTTGAAAGAGTTCTAGATTGTTTGCCTTGCATACAAGAGGAGCTTGGCTCAATCCCCAGTATCATATATGTATTTCCAAGCCCAGCATCAGTTCTAGTAGCTTCTAAAACCTCTACCATTCAACTGCCACTATAGTCCACTGGAATCAGTCCAGCAGAACTGCCAAAGCTCTCAGGGGTCAGATCCAGTGCCTTCTCTTGGGCCTCCACCTGGAGTAGAGCCTGGCTGCGCTATCTGGGCAGCAGAGAGTTCAGTTCTCTTATGACTCCTATGTGAGACCAAGGTCGGGATTGCCTTCGAGGCATCAGGATCTACGATCACCGAGGCTGGGCTTTCTGGAAAGTGGTGTTGGCTCTTCCCCAACCACAGCTGGCTCCAGGCACAGATGTGACATGGAGAAGCCACCAGGAGTGGATTGGGGAAAGTGTCCACAGTGGAGGCCAGGTGGAGGTGAGAGGCTGTTCGTTGCAGTGCATTTAGGGGCTTTTCCTCTGACCCTGAGCAGCAGCAGCTGCTGGTGTTTGTTGAGTTGGGGACAGTTGGGAAAACCCCTTTGGAAGCCCCATTAGGGCTAGCTAACACTCTCGGGGTGGGGAGCCTCAGGAACAACCACTGCTTCTGCCACAAAGGTCACCCCATGAACACCAGTTGACTTTGCTCCCCACCTGCCCTGGCCTGTCCTCACAGGGCAGAGGCCGGGAAGGCAAAGACCAAGAACTGTGCAGGGAATTTATCATCCGCCTTGAAGCTGGCTCAGCTACCTGCCCCATACACCAACAGGAGAGGGGAGGAAGAGTGAAAACAGAAGAGACAGCGCACTGGGAAGAAACAGATGGTGAGGCCTAGGGACCCTGACTTCATCTTCAGGGCACAAGCTTTAACAAGCTTTAAGTTTAGTACAGAGAGAACTGAGATGGGGCAAGAGGTATTCTGTCCAATGAAGTGGTCCTGCCTGAGATATGGTCCTGCCCCTCACTGTTCAGGTCAGTTGTGCCAGTTGATCTGAAATACTGTTAACCTCTTCACACTGATATGATCGGGGAACTAATCTGGTTCTTCCAAGGTGATCTGCTCCAGGGTGCAGCTTCAGCATCAGGGATGATTGACGTCATGCGCAGTTGGCCTGCCGGGGAAATCAACTGATCTGGAGTCTTGGGCGATGGCAGGTACCACATACTGACCTGTCTCTCTTCAGTCTTGAGGGGGAATTAAGGCACACAGACAGGTCTTTGTAATTCCCTTGTCTACACAGAATCAGGCAGGAGTCCGAAGCAAACAAAGGAGAGACACAAAATGGAGGGAGAGATGCCAGGCTTTCCCCCCTCCCCACTTTTAGTTTGTGAGGAGTCACCTATTACTAGGTAGGTTTGAGGAGTCTGTTCCAGGCCGTTGGAATCTCCAGGGAGGGGTTTGGAAAACTTCTTTCCATAAGGGAAATACTGGGAGTATTTGGAATATAGGGAATGTTAGAGCAGAGACTTTTTTTCTGTGCTCCCTGCTCCTCTTAGCCTACCAGGGGCAGGGAGCAGAAACTCAAGTTTCAGTCTTCTCCCTGGTCCTGTAGTTGAGCCTTGGAGCCTGAACAGCCCCTGGAGGGTCTGCTGGTTGTGTGGCCACTGGGCTCTGGAGATTCCCCCAGAGCTCAAAGTCTGGTTGTCAGGAGGCCTAGATGGGTGGCCTGTGCAGGAAACACCGTCTCCCTGGTCTCAGTGTCCATATTTATAAAGTGGGACCACATTTCCCCTGTAGTGGGTAGCCATTCCAGCTTTGATCTGGAAGTTCCAACCCCCATTGAGACTTCGGTAACTGTCATGCCTACAAGGCAGGGCCAAGAGAGGGCCCTGAAGACCCGAGATCTGGGTGTGCCCCCTTCTCTTGGTTCCTGGACCCTGGACTCTGGAGGTAGACTGAGCAGAGTTCTCCAGAGAACACCGCCAGACTGCGCTACGTCTTTCCCAGACTTTGCAACCTACCTATCTCTTTATTTGTAAGTTATGCCACTAAATAAACCTCCCTTTTAACTCCGTGGAGTGGCCTTAATAATTTCTCCAATATCTGGCACCCAACGTGGGGCAAATTCCAAAGGCCTGGGTGGCTCCCACCTTCAGCCTCCTCCCTGACTGGTGGGTTCCTAAACCCGCCTGCAAGGTTCCATAAAACCAGGGAACGCCTACACGGTTCTATACCCAAAAAAGGGGGCAGCTAGTCTGGTCTCAGTTCCCTAGCTTAGCCCCCAGACCAGCAAAAAACCACTGTGAGTGAGGCATTCCCCTCCTCCCTGAGTGCCGACTCCCCGCCATCTCGGCTCCTGTCTTCAGCTGCCGCCAGCCAAGGTCGCCAGCAGGCCCTGCTTTAGAGCTGTACTAATGCCTCCTGCTGGCTGTAAGTGCTACCACACCCCCCAAAACCACAAAAGGTAAGCTAGGCAAACAAGTATATTATTTCAAGTAAAAGTACTTGATAATTTTACACCTTAAAATTGACTAACAAATTTTGAGTAATTCTTGTAATATGGCCGACATTACCTCACAAGAATTTAAAAACCTTTTTGCCTGTATGATGAATGACATTTTCCTGGAAATGTATGACCTTCCTAAGGCATATCTGGCCTGTACCATTTTGGCATTCATCATAATAATTCACACAGTGTTCAAACACTGGTTTAATAATAAGAACAAAGATGAGTCACTATTGGGACTGATACAGGCTTTAAAAAATAGCAATGAAAACTTACAGAAAAAATTCTCTCTCTGGAATCTGCTAATCAGGATTTACAGGCTTTCAAAAATAGCAGTGAAAGCTTACAGAAAAAGATTCTTTCTCTGGAATCTGCTAATCAGGATTTACAAAACAGGCTTGTACCCAAAATTGATCTTATTGATAATAAATGTGAATATTTAATGGATAGAACACTAACTCTCCAGACACTATATAAGGAAGAAAGATTATCATTAATTGATAAGGTCCATGGAATCATGTGTTTCTGAAGAACATAAAAACTTCCATGATTCCATGAGAAATCTGGAGTCCCTTGTCAGAGAGGAGGTTCCCTCCCTAGAACAGACCCCTAGGTGCTCGTTTGCAAGCCCTGGAATAAACTCTCAGTAAATATGACAAGGGACCTAATAACCAGAAGGGCAAGACCATAGAGATTGTAACATCTCCAAATGGCTCTCATACAATGGCTTATCCTGTTATAATCCATGAGAAGCCAGCAGATGACACACACCCCAAGCCATATATGACATATACATTAAAACCAATTTCAACAAGGGACTTTTAAAATATAAAGGAAGCAGTAGTTACCTATGGGATACACTCCACATATGTAAGACATGTTAAATTTGTGGTCTACCTCACATAGAATCATTACAGATGTCTGGCATCAGTTAATTTCAGCTGTTCTAGAATATAGCCAGCAGTTACAGTGGAAAAGCTGGTTGAGAGATGAGGCAAAAAATTTAGAACAACAAGGTAAACTCAGAGGTTTTGTGATCTCCCAAAATCAAATTCTTGGTGAGGGATGTTTTGCTGTACAAGCCACTTATGATGAGCATACAATATCCCTATGCCGTACAGCAGCTCTAAATGCTTGGGAAAAAATTCCAGAACCTGGAAAACCAACTGAGGTATACACAAAGATATTTTAGGGACTTCATGAACCCTTCTCTGATTTTTTACAAAGGCTGAACACAGCTATAATAAAAGTTGTGTCAGATAAAGAATTAAGAAAAGTATTAACTCAGTCCTTGGCATTCGACAATGCTAATGCAGAATGCAGAAGAATACTTACACCATTAAAGATCAGATCAGCTCCTTTGGAAGAATGGA